GGGAGCTGTTTCCTGTTGCAGATGAACAAGCTTCAGATGCAGGTTATTTTTAGCCATCTTTAGATACTGACCACAATTATATTTTAAAATTCATAGTAAGTTGGTATGCAAAACTAATCTATGCAAATGGCATAAAGCATAAGAATTTTCAGCCATTGTACTTTGTATTAAGGTGCATGCAGTCTGTTATGATGGACATAAATGCTAACCTAGAAACATACAAGCCATTTCTCTGGAACTCTCCTACGTTGACTAATTTAAGATTGATTAAATGTGACATTTAACAGTGTTTCCTGTTGTTTTCTTTTTTTTTTTCCCTTACGACATGCTGTGAATTCTGTTGAAGAAAAGCATACATAAGCTAGATATTTGTTGTTACCAGCTATTTGACAAAGTCAGTATCTCTCAGTAGCCTCATTTGTCTCATTCCTTATCATTTGTACCAATGTTCCTCTCTCTAAAATACAGAAATCTTCTGCTGCTTTTCTTTCTTTCCCCACTCTTCTAGGGAGTATTAAAATACTAATTTCTTCTGATATCCATTGTGCAAACCAAGAAGCTAGTGCACTGTCAATACTGAGCTAAATGGAATAAAGTAAGAAATAGTATTTTACCTTGGTGAGCCAACCTTTCACAGTAGGTTTAGCATCATTGTGAGGAACACCAACAGGACTGGTCACTTGCACTCTCAGGATACTCTGTAGGACATGAATCCATTCCTCCAGGATGTTGGGAGAGTCTGCTGTCAGGAAGTAGGTTCTCTTTTCTGTCATGAGCTGAAAGGAAAAGGAGTGAGTAAGTATAAATCTGCACACCTACAAATCTTTTCTTCAGCTGCTGAGTTTCATTATTCCATATAGGATTTTTTCTGGTGGATCGGTAACGATTTTTTTGGGGGGGTAAGAAAAAAAGTGCTGTCCCTCAAAGCCCAAGTGAAAGAACTGACACTCAGATGAATCAAATTCTCATGAGCTCTCTCGCTGTTTCTGTTGGATATTGTGGGTTTTGTCTCCTCTCTCTCACCCTTTCTTGTTTCTCAGTGCTGCTGCTAATTTTTCATTTTAAAGGTGACTATATAAACAGCTTTTTTTTCCTGCTTTCATTTTGTATTGCATTCTGCCTTCAGTAGCTTGTGACTCTGAGAGGAAAGATGCTATGAATTTAATAGTATTAAGCCTTAGCAACTTCAGTTCCATAAAGGCAGAAGGTAGCTCACAGGTCAGGCCATGTGCCTTTCAGTCAGAGTATGAGAGAAACTTTAATGCCACCTTTATAATGCCATCTAACAATAATGACTTAAAACTGAACCCAGTGATAGGCTAATTTCTTATACTTTGGAAGTCGAATTCTAATAAGAATCCAACACTTCAGATGTTTTTCCAGATCCTCCAGACGTGTAAAGTCAGGATGGAGATCTTGTGAGAGGAGTCCTTCAGAAAGAGAAGATCCTAGGCACTATCTGGTTTTACCTTAAGAATCACTTTTCCCCATTGTTTTCAAGTTCTCAGTCCTAACTGCAAAAAAAAGAAAGTGCTATGGTGAAAAACAAAACAAAAAATAAAGGAAAATTTATTTCAATTTCAAAAAGCTATATTTGGGTTACAATTTAGCTCTTTCCCCATTATTTATTAAACTGCCTGCCTGCCTTATGCCAGGAAACACCGAGGCCAGATAAAGTTAGCTCGTATCAATTGAGACATTCAGCCTGAAATAACTGCGGTCTCAGCCAGCCACTGAGTGTGTGGTTGTCTGCAGGATGAAGCAGCAACACTTACCTGAAACGTTTGGGACCCTTCACCTCTGACAATTTGGCACGAGGAATTCAGCTCCATCTGCCCTTGTGGTTTGCGGATAACATCACTCTGAGGAAAGAAAAGGAAACAACTTTTTCAGTAGGAAGAAAACTCAGATCAGTCTTAGAGTACTTAAATAGAGCATAATATGCATATGCAGGTTGGAGACTGCGTTCATGAGCTGGAAAGGACGGCTGAAGGTTGCCAGGTTGAATGAGACAGTGTGATCCCACTGCAATGATGAAGCACAAGTTTCCTCGGTAGTGGCAGACAATATAACAAGGGTAATGGTGACAAATACTGTCTTACTGCGTTTGAAATAGTTGTCAGTTATAAAACCTATTTGGAAAGGTTTGAAATCACAAACATGCTCTCTCAATATTGTTTCATTGATGATTTTAAGACAGCATTTTCCATGAAAGCTTGTTTTCAATTTTACGCTAGTTTTCTAATACTTTCGTGTCTATGTGGGAGCATGAAAAATGAAAGAATCCAGCTTTCTTCCCCCTGAAAGTTGTACTTTTCCTTGGAACCCCGTATACTGCCTGATGAGTACGTATCTGTGCTCTCCTGGTACTGCAATTTATTTTTCCTTTATTTTAATCTTAAACATGACCAAAGCTGGGCCATGGTATGCCTTCTGCTTTTCATCATCTGTACAAAGTTAAGCAGTAGGTGTCAAGCTTCTGTTCTTGTGAACAAGCTTTCATCTCCTGGAAACTGTCACCACAAGGAGCTTCCCTGCCTAAGCAGACACCCATGGTTGAACCTCTGGGTCAGACATAAAGCTCTTTGGCAGGACATTTTGCGGGGAGCTTCTCTATGGCTGCCCACTCTGCCAGTGTTCTGCAGAGAGCCTTCCCCTGTGCCTCCACACAGGAGTAAATGTATCCTGGTGACTCACCGGAGACTTGTAGTACATGATTTGTCTGTTTCTTAGAACAAACCATCGTCTCTTCCACATCTTCACCTGGCTGCTCATTTTCAGCAAGTAACCTGATTTCTCCATGGGTTCCTGGAGGGCAAAGAGCAAGGGGGAGAGGAGGTTATCTTGCATCTCTCAAAACGCAAATGAAAGAGTGCTGAAGTCAAGCTCAGACGTTTGCTGCATCTCCATCATTTTCCACTTTACTCTGCCAGATGGGAGTAGCAACCATCCAAGGTCAGTGCTCTTTGCTCAATTTGGAGACAGTCCTAGACTATCTGTGTAACTGCAAATACCACATTGTGTTTTTTTAATAAAGAAGGCATCTGAAAATCATTTCACTGATTGTTGGATGCACTGAAAACTTATTTGTCTTCTTACCATTTTCTCCTAGGCCAAAATATTCTATCCTTTCTCATTCCTTCCTCTCAATTTCCAGACTTGCTTTGTCACAAAAGCGTAAGGCCATCATATCATTAAAGCAGAATACAAATACAGGAAACCAGTACAGGTCATCAGGAAAGAATACAGCCCTTGATGCTTACGCTTTTATCTAACCACGTAAATTGCACCTTCTTCTGAAGCATCAGATAGTGTCTTTTGATACAACCAGCTTGACCAGTAGCACAGTCTGTTAAACAGAGCATCGCTCTGCAGGTGATAACTCAATATACTGCAGTTATGCTTTTTCTCTTTCAAGGCCAAGGCTCTGTTTGCATCCCTTCACGACTGTGAGGTAGCAAGACTTACAGTGCAGATTCCACCATCAGTGGAATAGGAAGATGTTCGCTGTAGCTTATGCTCTGGCTCTGAATAGTCACCATCCAAGGAGTAGGCATCAGGAGGGATGGCATAGTCACTCTCAGAGCTCAGTGAGGACATAGATACACCTGTTCAAAATAAAGGAAAGAACGAGAATCATGGCTAGACAGAAACATGCACTGAATACTGCACACTCTGAAAAAGTTTAAGTTCACCATTAAGGCTTTTTTGTTTAAAGAGAACAAATCAGACCAGACTTTGGAAACTCAAACCCCACTAACCAAACTTCTGAGACCCATTTTTTTTTTTCCTAGGAAGACAAGTAGTGAGAGTAGGTTGTGGGTACTGACACTGAAATAAATTTGTTGCTGAATAAACAGAGATTAAAAAAATATCAAAAAAAAACCCCAACAAAATCCAAAAACCTAATCAACAGACTTGTTATCTAAAGCACAGACATGCTGTTTTCAGCTTGGAAACATCAATTATAAAGTCTCAAGCCCCTCTCATTCAAACTTAAGAAAAGGTGCCCTCACCAGCAACAGGGCTTTGCCTTCCGTTAATCTTCCACTATTGGTCCATGGCAATGCACAGACACATCAGCCAATGCATCACAACAGAAGTTAAGACTATGAAATGAGATTCTATTTTATTGACTACCAATTGTAATGAAAATCCCACTCAAGGATCCAGTTTAACATTTCCAGCAGTCAAGAAAAATTGTTCTAGCCAGCAGCCAAATTACCTGATGCCTCTCAAAGATAGGAGAGACTTGCTACTGGTCAAGAAATTACCAGCCAGCGGCAGAGACAAAAAAACATTTTCTTTAATGCATCAGTACCAGCTCGCTTACAAGAAATTGTCACAGAATAGGTATGGTTAGCTTCACTGGATATATAACGAATTTGGAGGATCAGTCCTTCCCACAATCTTAGCTTAGTGATTGCCTGGATGGAAATCTACCAGTGGGAAAAACCCATCTAAGAGGATAGGTTTTTATTGAGTAGCTGTTGATGTCTGCACACATCCTAGGAGAACTTATTAGCATCACCAAAGCTAGGCATTTGCCTGTCACTGATGATGCTGTTCAGGACATCTTGCCTCACCCATGAGGACAGAGTACATGCTGCTCAGCAGAAATATCCCCCCTTTACCTCTCTTCACTGCACGAGGGCTGCCTGGCACGCTAGCTTTCCTGTTCTCAGATCCAGCAGTAGAAGTCCTGAAGCTGGCATGAGAGCCACAGTCATCATCAGAGCCTGAAGACTCATCTAAGAAAGGCACGTTGCTGATCTGTGTGGCTTTCTGGAAAACAGACCTGTATGGTCAGTGTGTGAGGTGAGAGTTTCCCCAGGACAATTCCTGCTCAATAAAGAGACAGAACAATCAATGCAGGCCCTTTGTTTTCACACTGCCTTGCCCACTACTGTCCCACCGCTCCTCATTTCCTCGGTTTCTAGCCTGAGAATTTCCAAGCTGGACTGTTGTCTGATCTGTTTGGGTCTCCTCTGGTTACACCCTCCTACTGTTCCACAAGCCCTGCGCTTCCCCATAAGCTCTTAAGAGCCCTCTTCCTTTTCACACTCTAGGCTACACCGACTATCAACTCCTAGGTTTCTACAGCATCACAGTGCACACTGCAGCTTCCTGGACCAAAACTTGCCGCAATGTTCTGTATTCCTAAACACATTTATCATCTGCTACTCCTGCATTCTTTTGGTATCCAGTACTTCCTGGTGTTCTCTAATTTTCTTTCTTTCGCTGCACAGCTTCATCCTGTTCTCTCTCAAATTACTGGCAGCCCTGGACGATGCTTTTCATAATAGGAAAAGTGAAGTAACTCCTTACCCCCTTCAGCGTAGTGTAGACTGGCACTGTGACATTTCTGTAGATGAGACAGGTAAATGGCCCAGAAGTTGAACGTGAGAAATTGGAAACTGGGAAAATTCAGAGAAAGAGCAAATATTAAAAACTGGTGAAAAGAAGAAGGTTTTAATGGAGATGTATGTGTAGGTATGTAAGAACTTATGTAGCCTCTTGGAACATCAAATAATAGAGGACTGCCATGCTGGACAGTTTGGCCTCAGAAAGGCCAGGAGATGTGTTATTTATTACATACAACTCCCAAAGACAGCTGCAATGCCCCCTCCATTTAGCCTGTAAGACATCTTACCCACCCTGTGCTCCCCGTGGTACAAGGGCAATCCAGTGCACCATGTCCAAACAGGTAAAAGCCGTAACAGGTGAAGGTGATGGCAAATCAAAAGACTAAAAGCAGCTCACAGACATGCAGAGGCAGAACAGAGTCAGCAAAAGTGATGGAGGAGATAATAGAGTCCCTGAAGATGTCACTGAATATAGGGGCTCAAACAGCTCAGCACCAATCATCCCTGAGATCAGATGTATCCTCTTCCCTTCCTTTCTTTATTGTGGCTATCTGTGAAATCAAATTTTCTTTGAAAACAGGCAAGGAAATGAAGAAGTGTGAACAATCAGAAGCTCAGGTCCCACACTGTCACTGTAAACTCCCTCTAAGGATGGATCTTGTCTAGAACTTACAGCAGCTGGAAGTATCATTCACTGTGGCCACTTCAGACAACCTCATGCCAGACTTGGCCACAGCATAGATTCGACTCTCCTGGAACAATAATACCATGAACAGCAATGGTCAGACAAAAACATGATTCCTGAAAAAATAAATGCTTTCACAGAATCACATCACAATCACACCTTTGGGCAGGAAAGAGGGGCCCTCTAAGAAAAACTGCTCTGTTCCACAAGATGTTGGGTGAATGACCATTAGTGGAAATGTGCATCTGTGTGCAATTCCCTGAATCACAACACACTTGGCTTATAAATGCTACAGAGATGATATCCACAGACTGGAACACCTACACAAAATTATGAATAAAGGACTATATCACAGCTTGGAAAAAGCCATTTTTTCCACTTTATAAACAATGCATTAAAATGAACCAAGAATAGCCTCAAAACAGGACAACTTGTTGAGTCATCATCTGCAAAGGATTCACTTTCTCTGATAAGGGAATGAAAGAAATGCCTGGAATGATCTCAATAAGCCTGTGTCTCTTTTATAACAACATATGGAGCTTTCAGTTCAAAGGATCTCCAAATGCTTCACAAATTTATAAAAATTCCAAGGGGGGAACTCAAACCTGTAATTAAACGCAATATTATAACTAAGACAACAACCTGTCTAAAATGGATACAAATCAAAGCTAGGAATCCTCTTGCTGCTCCTTAAAGCATACAACCAATGACTATCGGATAACACACATAATACATATATGTGAAAGTACCTAAGACTGCAAAGTCAAGTACACCAAAAAAAAGAAATGACAGAATTAGTATTTTCTGTACGTATACGCATTGTGATTCAGTCTCTAATGAAATATTATGTGCGTTTTTTTCCCCAGACACGTCCTATTCAGGGCACATAATGGACATTTCTTACTGATTAAGCCACTTTTTAATATTCTATTCATGCTTTAGTGTTTAATATTCTTAAATTTGCCCTACTTGGATAGACTTACTTGACTCCAGTCTGAAGACAAAGTAATGGATTTTTCCTGTGGCGTTCCTGACTATAACACTGCCATGTTTCATAAACATTAATAAAAAATTTTACAAAAAACTAGGAGGGACATTGATGGGTGTTATCACTATTTTCTAGAAGAGGAACTCAGACACATGTTCTTTGAAATATCCAATATCTTTGGAGTATCCATTTTAAGATGTCCAGGACCTGATTTTTTTGAGAATTTAGCATCATATAACATTGTTTGTAATGGAAAAAAAAATGAATACAGTTGCAGCAAATCAAATCTACTTGCCAAACTCAAGTTAGACATTCAGAAAGCATGTGTGGAGCTGATCATCACCTGTGAAAAATTTAGCTTAAGGGACTAGAAGAACCATATATGGGAATTCTAGATCAGAGAAAGGAATAGTAGCCAGTCTCTGAGATGTATTTCCCTTCTTCCAAGTGAGTGCACTGTTCGTGACACTTTTCCGATTTCTGCAGCAAGTGAAAAAGACATCTTGAAAACTGCAGGTTTTTTTACTACACTATCCAGCCTCATCCCCAGAACAGTTCCATATTATGGACCAAATGAAAAGAGACTCCTTTGGAAAAACAGCTTTGATTATACTGGGGTTTAAACTGGTATTATAAAAGGATAAAGCTAAAGATCACAAATAATATTTTCATCCAAAAAAATTAGAAAACATGAGGATTAACAACGAGTGCTTGACTTTGCACCACTTCTTGGCCTATGTCTTTAAAAAAAGCAAATAGAAAATAATTGAATTATCTCTTTTGATACTACATTGATTTCCACCAAGTTTATCAGTTAGATTGATGCATGAGCAAACAATCCATCCATCTGAACTAATAAGTAGTAATAATAATAATAATAATAATAATAATAATAATAATAACAGACTTTCTCTCATGTGAAGTAAGCAATAGGACATGTACATTCTTTTTACCAATGGTTTTCACAAATTTCCCGATAATAGAAGTATATCATGAGATAGGAATGCTGAGATTTAATCCACATATCTATTCTAGTATTCACAGCTTTTTCTGATCCTGAAACTATCTGGTTCGGTCCATTCACTTGCATTTATGACTCACTTTTCTATCTTAAACACATGACAACAGAACTAAGGATTAACTTTTGATGACCCATAAGGACAAACCACAATGCAGCACCTCTTGACTTTCATTTTTATTCCTATGTTTCTTGAGTACTATTTTCTTCCATAGATTTTTTTTTCCCCTTATAAAGGGAAAAGGACCAAAAAATTGTCAGTGGAATCAGCATGCCCCATGATCTGGAAATGTCAGACTAGGTGGTTCAGAAATGTGACTGACGTCCACAGGAAACAATTGCTTGAGATCAAGAGCTGTTGTAGCCTAAGTACCGGGCACTACTCAAAGATAAGGAGCCCTTCTCAGATTGTTGTCCTTGCCTTTCTTACCCATGATGGGAATCTGTGCAGCGGTGGAGTGGGAGGTTTACCTCCTGGGTCAAGTATGCCAGCCTCAGAACTCACAGCTTCTCTTCGCCCTGCAGATAAGTGGTTGATTTCCTCACATGCTCTAGCTTCTTCCCTCATTGGGCCACGTTCTGTCTCCATCTTCTCCAGTACCCCATCATCATCAATGTCCGTCTCCTTCATTTGCCCATGGCAGACTGGAGAGTCTGTTATGGGCTGGAAGCTGTTAGCCTCTAAGCTCACTACATGATGGAAGGAACTAGCCCCTGGCTGCGGTTGGCTGTAATGTCTCTTGGCTAGTTGGATACTGTCTCTTGGTGTATTGGGAGTTTGTGTTTTTGGAAAGGTCATACTACTGCCAAGGCCACATTCCCTCCCTGGACAGAAGGGATGTGCTGTAACAGCTGATGTTGACACAACCAGGGGTGGCTCAGTAGTTCGGAGACGGCCCTCAAGCATGCTCATTATCTCTCCTGAGGAAGAGGAGTCCCGCTGGTGGGAGTGGAACCTGGCACTCAGATCATCAGACAAGCGGGTGCCAGCCAAAGCCACTTGTTCCAAGGTGCTCACAGCAATACAGTTTCCTTCCAAAGACGGCTGGAAAGTCAAAGCCTCAAGGATTCTTGTGGCCTCAGCTGGAGGGTCCAGTGATGCAGGATCAGAGCACTCTAACCTGTGTTGAGAACTTATGGCTGGGAATACATCTTTCTCTGTGGGGAGATTCCAGCTTGATGGGTCAGACATGAGCTTCAATGTGCTCTGGGAAAGCAGAGATTTGTCTTCTCCATCCCCAGTAAAAGTGTCATTGGCAAGGACTATGTTTGCTGTAGAGACAACACATTTGGTAGGTACTGTATGACACACTTGTCTGAAACCAGGTGCAAGGAGCACAGATTTCTGGTCTATCTTCTCAGCAAGAGAGGCCTGTGATGCTCTGGGCTTCAGAGAATTACAGTTCCAGAGAGATTCAAAGGGAGGAATGCTGGTCATATCTACAATGAAGAAGAACATATGGTTAGGGCATTCAAATACTTTACTGTCTAAAATGTTACTTGGTAGTGTAAGTTGTTCATGGCAGTTGTGTTTCAATAGCACCCTCGCCTGGTTAGGACTATCCAGAATGGAAAGGAGATCGCTGGGCACAGTTATAAAAGAAGTGCTATACATTTATAATTGGGAATAATACAGAAAAGATTAATAAGAAATGATCGATCACTGTTTTTTACAAAAGTGGAATTAAGAGGTGCCTAATGAAATTATCAGGCAGTGCATTTGAAATTTACAGAAGGAGGAGGGTTTTTTCCAAACAAAAAAGGAAATAGAATGCTGTGGTGTCCAAAAGATAGGCCAGAAAAAGTAATTTATCAGTGGAACAAATAGCAGTTTAGACAGAAGTTTGGGCCTAGGAACTTCCTAAAACATTGACAGCAGGAGCTGGAAGAGTACATGGAGAGAAGGACAGCTCTACTTGCAATATTTTCTACACTCTTCCCTAAACCATCCACAGCCAACCAGGAGACAGGATACGAGCCTAGGCAAGCTTTCAGTCTAACTCAATGTAGCAGTTTTTACTTTTACCTATCAACGATTATGTCTCTTCTCTTAAGACAGCCATGAGAAGGAAGTGTACCTAGCCACACAATACTTCGTCAAAAAACATCTAAGTGGCCAGAACACTGCTTAGCATAGCTTTTGACTTCAATGGACCTACAGTGATTAAGTCATCAAATAAGCTGCTATGGTTCCTCCCATTCCTAGGGGCTAGTTGAGGCTTCCAGCACTGATTGGTGAGGTTACCCTCTTTTTGAGAATTTCCCTAGGGCTTTTTGCTTTCCTTTTGTGCTATATGACCCAAGCAGTGCTTTTTGTCAAGTTTTATAACAGTTACATGTTTTTGCTGTAAAAACTTTTTTTTCTTTGTTTATTTTTTCTCTGTCCCTTCAGTTGCTCCATTGTTCTTTGTCTATGTAGTATCTATACTTTATAATTCTTTTCTCTTCCTTCCCACAATTACTAGATTTAAAAACTATCTCAGTTCTACAGGTTCTGCTGAATAGCGGCTTTAGGGTATGAGAAAGCGTGGATAAAACTTGGAGTGGCAGAGGATGCTACTTCACTTTATGATTTTGACTGACCTTGGCATTGATATATTGCCTGACTGAAAAGAACCAAGTCATAAGATGCTTTGGAAATTCCATAAATATGGGTGAGTGTGACTCTACGCAACTATTGCTGAAAACATTGCCTGAACATCAAACTCTACATGCATCGCTTAATCTCTGATGGTATTTACAAGGAAGTGGAAACAAACTGAAGACACAAAGTAACAGAAGGAAGGACAAACAGCACAATAAATCACTGTTGATTGTGGAGAGGATGAAACCTGCTCTTGGAAACAGCTGAGAAAGACAATCATGACAATCTGACCTTGGCACTTGAATCATGAGGAACCGAATGCTAACAAAGCTATTCCTAACACATAATGCTGGCACACACAAATCCTGGCACACATTTTCCCCTGCCCCTGAGGCAAATCATTAATGTAGACTGAAGAGAGGACATTAATTTTAAATATTATTGGTATTTCTGCAGCTTCCTAGATGTGACAGGAGATGAAGCATAAGAAGCTGTTACTATTAGCATGGCAAGCAAGAAGAGATTTGTATCTCTGCAGAGGCCTCTGAATTTAGCCTGGTATGGTTAAGACTAGTGAGGGATACGAGGAGAGGGCAGAGCTGTTTACTGCCCAGAGAGTCAGGATCCAGGGAACACTTAATACCAGATTATTAACGCAGCTTACCAGCCATTCTCTTATTGTAAGCAGCCAGAGCCAGAGGGGATGAGAAAAAAACAGTCATAATGCATTTAGCTAGAAACATGGTGGGATTTAGAAGGAATTTTGCCCTATTCCCTTGCTGTGGAGTGATAGGAATGCCAGAAAGTCTTCTGCAAGAAAGAAATGCCCCCTGCCTGCATGCCCCATGAAGTCCTGGAAACTAGCTCATCTTACTGTGACCAAAACAAGCTCACTAAAAAAAAAAAAAAAAACAGGAAGAAAAAAGTTAAGGGAGAATTTCCTCTTCAAAACCTGTTGCGATGAAAGGTGCTGATTTCAAACCTTGGAGACCAAAGTTCTCCATCTATCAGCTTTCTTCAACCAAACCTGATAGCACAGAGGAACTTGGCTTCTAAAGGCAGACAAGACAGCTGCTGCTTTAGTCCCTTCAGTCCTCAGTTACTCAGCTCACAAGCCAGAGGTTCCGTGGGGACGAGGATAATTCGCATGTGGAGGTAAAGTGAAATACCTCAGACACTTCTACCCTGCACCACTGAAGCAAATAGAGACTTTTGCTATGTATTTCAATGAGTGATTCTAATTCAGGAGCTCAGTGGCTTATTTTAATGGCAAAAGCAGACTGAAAAAAAAAACGAGTCCATGTTCAATCGCTGGTAGGAAGCCAATTAAGAGTTTTTAAGGCAAGTAGCAATGTTATTCCCATCTTAAAAATGGAGCCACTGAAGAAGAGAGCAATTCTTCTGCTTGCTTATTGTCACAAGTGTTAATTTCTAACAAAGTGAAGAATACAACCCAGGAACGCTGACTTCCATTCTTATGGTGGTTACTAGGCTACAATGCCAGGTGAACACATTTACCTTGCAATGTATCCTGAAGGGCTTCAATTTGCTCCGTCAGCCTCTGATTACAGTTTTTCAGGTGGTAATTTTCTAGCTCAAGCTATGAAACAACAATAATAAAAACTGAAAAATAAGGCAAAACTCTATGTGTGTGTGTTCAACTCTATAGAACGTCTTCATTTTTATTGCATTCAAGTATCTTAACAGGAAAGTGAAAAAAGGATAAGTGATCTACCAGTCACCTTGAAACCCTTCTCCTCAGCAGCTCCACTGGACAACCCACTTAAACACTTTGCTGTGCTTCTCAAATAGCCTCTGTATGTATTATTCACACTTCTCAAATAGGTCTTTTAATTTCCCTCCCAGCTATTGTTTATCATTTACTCCTGTTCCAGAAATAACTGTCATGAAAAAGACAATCAAGAAAACTATTACCCAGGAGAAACATTTTTCCTTCTCACCCTGTATGTGGTAAAAGGACACTCCTGGATCCAGGGGACAGAAGGAAAAAACGAAACAAAACAAAAAACATTAAGGTTGCATTTATGTTTACAATCAGTGCGCAAGTGATTCTTTGCAAATTTGCCTTAAGTCTTTGCTTGAAGTGTCTCAGCATACATTCTTAAACACAGCAGTGGTGCACCCAAAAAGGCTTCTCTCTTGAGGGAATCAAAGTTGAAATTGCACCCATGGTGCTGTCTAGAGCAACCCATTTGCAACATAGATGCAAAGTCCTTCAGCTGGCAATGGTCAACTTGTGCATGGTATGCACCTAGAACCAGCATCTGGCACAAACTTCATTGTGAGTAAAGACACAATGTGAATGCATGATCCTGGATTCACAGCAGGTCACACCAAGTCAATCCCTGTCCTTCCTCCTTTGTGCTGCACCAGTCAGTAATGTAGATGCACCTTAAGTTATCTCATATAGCAAAATGAAAGACAAGCAGCACAGCAGCTCAGTGAATTATCTAGGCAATCCAATAAGATAACAAAGTCGCATCATAATGAAATTAGTGCCCACGAAGACTGCTTCTTCCAACTCAAATAAATTCCCTTTCTGGCATAAACTGGGAAATCTATGGCTTTAACTTGGAATAAAAGGGAAAGACCAGATAGCCCCACTCCGAGTTGCAAACTACTACTGCATCTTTAAAACTGCGTGCTGACCCATTGCTATCTCTCAGCTTTTCTCGAGTGTATTGAATTAGGCTCAGATAGAAGTCTAAGTCCACAGAATGGATAGGAGGGAGAGGTTAGACATGAGAAAACGCTGGGCAATAGGAAAATAGCTTAGTCAGAGATGGCAAATTAAGGAACAGAAAAGGACATGTGTTTGTGTCATAGCTGCTTTGTCAGAAAGAGACATAGAAATTTCACCTAGAGAAAAAACGGAGAGGCAAACTAGATGAAAGCCACTTGTGACTAGTAAATCTTCTTCAGAGACTGCTTTCGGGCATTAGTGACTTCACAGTCATCTATAGTTTGCCCAAAGCAGTAAATAGTCCTCAATAAGAGGGACCACCCTAGCTCAGCAACTACGTGTGTGTGGGACCAAACAAGCAGAAAGCCTCTGCGGCACACTGACTGTCCTCAGGCTATTGTGTTACGTAGGAGCCCCCTGGCAGTACAGGCACTGTACCTATTCACAGGCCTTGAAACCTGGCAGCAAGCTAGACTCACCTCTCTCAGCTTAAATGTTACCCACTCTTTAATCTTGGCAGCTTTCTCTTGAACAATTTTGGCTTCCTCAGTCCTCAACAGTTTCTGTACCAAAAAAAGATTAGATGCATTAGGAGAATACAACTAACTGTTCTCAGTAAGTTACTGCATCAGGAGTGACTTGAACATTGATGCTCTCATTTCAGACGTAAGGTTTAAGACTGCTATTCAGATACTATTAATTTAGCTGGCCTCTGAAAAATCAAGCTCTAAGTTGTCTTACATGGTCCCTGGAGTCAAATGCAGAGGATTGTTTCAAGAGTTTGTTGTGGAACAGCAAAATCCAGCTCAGATAACAACTGCCCACCTACCACAGTTTCTTTTGAGCACAGTCTGCAACTTTTCCTGTTTTAGTTGGTTTAGCAATGTTGCTGTTGAGCATCCGTAGTATTCCCCCAGCCTACACACACACACATATTGTTGGCTGAAGTTAATAAGAACTAAGCAATGCCTGTAAGTGATGTATAAAACAGTGTAATTCTTCCAAGTAAAAGGGATTTGACTGTTGCAAGCACAGGTGTAGAGTATAGACTTTAGAGGTGCATGAGGGCAACTAGAGGGCAACTAATGCCAACAATGTATTTAACACACACACAATATTCTCATTGAGAAAGCAAATTTAAAAAAACAAAAAACCAAAAACCAAAAACCAAACACACAACAGATTTCGGATTAAAAAAAAGCTCCAAAACTTGACCTTGAAACACTAAGACCTGCTACGAGGTTTTGACTGGTTAAGTATTTGTATGTTTACATATCCTTTAAAACAGGTTCTAGTCCACACACAGGTGTTATAGGAATACTGTTGATTCACACAATGAACATTTTTCCCAAGTATCTGCTTGGTCAATATTACTACAACATCATTTTTGCAGCTATGTTTCCTCAGCTGTGTTTTTTTCCTTTTCTGGGAATTTCCTCTGAAAGACGCTGGATCAATACTATCAATACTTGACGCCTTCTGTTCATCTCCTGTGTGGCTTCATCAGAAGCAATGTCACTAAAAGGTCTACAATCTATCTAGATTTGAAAAACTACAAGGAGAAATCAGTTCCAGGAGCAAGAGAGGGAGGGAGGGGAATATACTCTGTTTGGCACATTCAGCCCCAGTTTCTCTAATTAAATGGATAAAGGTAACAGCTTTCTGGTAGCAGTTGGTGGTTCCTCTGATAGATTTTTTTTTTTTCCCCCCTAACATGAATAAATACCAGTAATTATGATAATAAAAGTGTCAGTGCTTCCCCACCTCCCTTAAGTTTTTCACACTGAAGAGTGTAAGTCCACTTAATGAATACCATAAAAATACACAGACTGCAGGAACTTCTCACATCTTGACATCACTTTTAATTACCACATGCTATTCATCACCAAAACCGCAGATTTAAAAGCTTTTATTCAAATATGTTTGATGACTTTAAAATAGATCTTGGCAACATTATGGGTGGCAGTAACATTTGTAGTTGAGCATAATTAAATAAAAGTAATCAAATCTGATGCTTCAAGAGGAGGATTTATTCACTCTTTCTCCTTGAATATGGCTGTGTGTTCCTAATCATCAGGTACAAGCTTTGGCTGGATTCAGAATATTAGACACCCCTACTGATCTGATATCTGGCACATATAGTGCATCTATCATAGTCTTCTCAATATCCATCACATGGTAATGCCTTTGAATCCCTAATGACCTGGACTTGTCTCAGATCAGTGACCAAGAGGTAAAAGATTCAGAATATTGCCATGCTACATGGTGAAGTGCAATGCGAAGATTTTATTTAGGGTCCTAAAGTAGAATAGTGACATGACAATAGCGTTGTCACAAGGCTCAGTAAGCCCTGCCTCTAAGCAGAGCCGATTCACTCAGGCACAGCACCTCTAGATGCAGTTGCTGTGCTTTAAGGTCCAGAAGCAGTTAGAGATTCTTTGTGTCCCATGCTGTTGTGTGTGGTCCAGACATGACTTCAGTGTTCCCTTATTAATGCTCTGAACTCCACTGCTCTCCCCATCTCAATGAAAACAAATAGGATGCCTTACAGGGATCCTTAGTGACCTTCCAGCACTGCCACAATTCTGTTCTGAAACTAAACCGGTGACCCCAATAGAGTGTTTCTTCTCTGAAATTGTCAAGCTTTGGCTTTCATTTCCAGAATCTCATTTTGCCTTTTGTTGCTAGAATAAAAAGATTCCACTAACTGACCATTTTTCCCACTTGTTCGTTGATTTTAATCGAATCACACCTCATTTTTGGGTAAATCAGAATTTCTTCCATCTTTGATTGCAAGAGCAGCTTCCAGAACTTTAGCACTATTGTAGCTCCTTCCGAACACCTCCTTTGTCCTCCAAAATGCAGAAACTTAATCTACATTCTGCCTGAGCAAGCTGGCCTGGGGAAGTGACCTGAAACCCAGAGTACTACAAAGACCTGATGCTCAACCTCCACACTACACTTGGTCTGAGTAAGTTCAGACAGCTTACCAATCTGTTTTGCCCTTGAAATAGGTGACAATTAGTTAAACGTTAAATGTAAAATGTAACTCAGTCAGCAAAGTAATTTTTTTGTGTGTAAAATTTTAATGAGCTATTTCCATTTAAAAGTAATTTACTTAGCAACATATAAGAATACCTCATTCCTCATGTTATAAAGACCACAGGGCAAAGCCTTTACTAGAGCCAAAATACAAACTCTACTGTAGATACATCTCCTTCCTTCCACTAACAGAGAATGGAAGAGACTAAGAACTATTCATACTGGGAAACAGCTGCTCTTTTATAGGGAGGACATCTGAGAAGAGATGAACTATGCTAAAGGATTGCTGAAGACTGGGAAAAGTCCCTTCCCAAGAAGCAGCATATGCTGAGTCAGAGATGGGGTACATAATGATTTTGCAGAGCAATCTATAGGCTAGGAAGGCAGAGAAATACTGTGACCAGACTTTAGCATTACAATTTAGGGTCTCAACACTGACATAAGGAAGCTCTTTAAAGACATTGACCAATCTCCTTGTCATGGTTTAGCCCAGCCCGCAGCTAAGCTACCAAGGAGAAGGTCGCTGGCTCACTCCTCAGTGAGGCAGAGAGTAGAAACAAAAGGCCTGAGGAGTGAGATAAGAACAGGGAGGGATCACGCACCAACCATGGCCCCAGGCAAAATAAACTCATCTTGGGGACAAATCAATTTAATTCATTAAGAGTTACTTGAGAGGATAACAAGAAACAAAGCCAGATCTTAAAAAAAAAAAAAGCTTTTCCTCACCCCTCCCTTCTTCCCAGCTCTACCTCCTCCCCCAGCAGCACAGGGGGACCAGGAACGGAGGGGTTGCCAGTCAGTTCCTCAAAGGTTGTTTCTGCCACTCCTTTCTTAAAGGAGGATGACTCCTTCTCTCTTTCCCCTACTCCAATGGATCCCCTCCTCATGGAAAATAGCCCACAGATTTCTCCAACGTGAGTCCTTCCTGCAGGATGCAATCCTTACCCATCAGATTGCTCCAGTGCGGGCTTTTCCCACAGAGTCATAGCTTCTTATGATGCAGCAACCTGCTCTGGTGTGGGGTCCTCCACAAACTTCAGATGCATCTCTGCTTCGTCATCAGTCTCCAGCAGCATGGGGAGTCCTTCCCATAGAGACAGTCCCTTAGGCATAGGCATCTCTGCTCCAGCATGGGGTTCTCCACGGGCTGCGGGTGGATCTCTGCTCCACTGTTAATCTTCATGGGTGGCAGGGGGTCCGCCTGCTGCCTCACCATGAGCTGCAAGGGAATCTCAGGTCCAGCACACCTCATCTTGCTCCATTTTCATTGACTTTGGTGTCTGTGTAGCCATTTCTCTCAGATCCCAGTCCTCTCTGCTGCACCTGTGCCAGGCCCAACCAGCCTGATGAAGCTTGGCAGTCCCAGCAGGATGCACTCTTCCCAGCGGGTGCCCTGTGAGCGGGGCACTTCAGAGCTGTCCAAGCTGTGCCACCACGGACATCTGCAGTTGAGTGGCAGCAGCCCAGTGTGGGCAGTCACCTGCTCTGGAAGCCAGGGGGCCAGCCTCCTGCCTTCCCTCTCTTCACTGTAGGTCCAGCCCGGTTCAGGCTCCTTTGTTCCCTTCTTAAATAGGGCATTTG